TAGCCTGCTTTCACTGCAGCTCCTGCCTGGCCAGCTCTACTGCTAATCAGCTGACATCAGCTGTCAAAGGGTGGTAGGGTCAGTGCTCAATCCACTTCCTCCCTCTGGGCTCCACATTTTGCAGACTTCTATCATGCCCACTCCCACTCCTCTCCAGGTTTATGTAACTCATTCTTTGTACAGTAACCATTCCATGCTTTTCAACTTTTCCTCCCCTTTTCTCAACCCCTCCCAGTCCTTCTGTGTTCTTTTTTTAAATAAAGGGACCAGATTTCCCTCATTATCACTTTAATCACTTAGGGGTTTTTTTTTTTCTGTTATATTCTTTACTCCTTTCCTAGCAATGCTTAATAGGTGATTTGCTTTATCTCTCACTACCGGGCACAGTGATGACATTTTCATAGAGCTATCTGCAATAACTCCTGTTATATGAAGATAGGCCAGTTTCTTCCCATATGCACTACTTCTCATTTAGCTTCCCTGAATTCCACCTGCCGTGTTCTGCCCATACACTCGGTATCATAAGACTCTTCTGTCGTAGCTCTTCACAGCCTGCCCTTGCCTATACTTCCCTAAACAACGCTGCACCACAGCGGACTCTGTCACCTCGCCATTCACTGCCACTTCCAGAACACATCAAGTCTCAGATTGTAGGGCCCTTCTGAGGACTGTGAAAACCATCGACTCCCACTGTGTTTTAACCTGTTATTTATCCCTGCAATTATTTGTTTCCTGTGTAATTTCAATGTAATTTTAAGAGCTTTTGATGACTGGACCTTCTGAATGACTTCTGGAAATTCAAGACCAACTTTACCTCCCTTATCCACAAGCTTTTTGGACTCCTGAGAATTCCAGTGGGGCAGTTCTTCCTACAAAGCCATTTTGGCTCATCCCCAATATATTATCTCTATACACACACTCACTAATTCTAATTTAGATTCCATTAAACTGCCTGCTTCCAGATTTTTTGTGATGTCCTTTCTAAAAAATGATATTACATGAGACACATCCTAGGCTCCTGCTACCAGAGCAGTTTTTCATAAGAGCTTGCCCAGGACGGCTTGTAGTTCAACCCCTACATTCTTCTATAACTGCCAGGTATATACAGATTTTTTTGATTCACTACTCTTCATTTTGCCTATTTGTACCATAATCTCTTTTACTGACACTTTCAAGACAGAAGTTTTGGTGAGTTCCCCTCCAGCAAGGAGAACTGTCTTGGGAGTCTCATCCAGCTCTGCTGTAGTGAACACAGATGTAAATAATTAGTTTAGATTTTCTGTTATGACTTTATCTTCTCCATATGCTCCTTTAAATTCCTTTTAATTCGCCTGGTGCTGCAGACTCCCTGGCAGGCTTCCAGAGTCTGAAGTGTTTGAACAGGGATTTATTATTAGATGTTATGTCTTATGCAACTTGTTCCTCAAATTCTTTTGGCCTCATGGTGCAGTTTACTATTCATCTGTCACAGGTTAAAATCCTATTTACAATTTCAGACCAAAAATTAGTTTTTCAAAGCATGCTTCTTGCAGAAGTTGTCCTGTGACAAGGTCCTTTGTCCCTGTGCTTAAGTATGGCAGTATCCTTTGAGCCTCTGATACTATATCCTTGCAGAGTCTCTGCATAGCCTTCAAAAACCTCATTCTTTTAGATGCCCCTCTATTTTTATCAAGCTTCTTCATTTTTAGATGCTTCTTCTGAAATGAGGCACAATATTGGTAATCTTTATTTTTTGGTTATGTAAGGGAAGCAAATAAAGAAGGAAAGGACAGAAGAAACAGAATGTCCCTGTGTGCCCACAGCACTTTATAACTCCTTCCTTGCCTTCTAGAGGGGTACACATTCCTGTGCTACCGTACTGCTGCTTCTGGGCAGAAGGATTGCGACCCCAATGGTAATGTCTAGAAACAGCTTCCTCAAGAATCAGGGATTCCAGGGTGTCTGTTGCACAAAAGGATATTATGTTTCTGCAGCAGGCTTCCACTGAGCATCTAGACTTGCAGCTGAGTAGCTGGAGTGTATTTAAGGCTCTGTTGCATCTTCCTCAGTAGGACCTTGGCATCATGGCAACGCTTTTCTCATGTGGAGGCCTGGAAAAAGACTCACTGGGTGCTTGTCCCTCCTTCTTTCCCAAGATGCTTTAAAACTTGGGCTCCAGCTCTTTGTGCCTGCCCAAGCCATCCTGCCCCTCTCCCAGCACTAGTGCGGCTCGTGCAACCCACTCACTGCAGGCTTGTGAGGCAGCCTGCT